TCCATCAGATTTTACACAAGACAATGGAGCCACTGGCGAACATGTTTGTATGTTGGACGTTGAGCACTGCGGAGGGCTTGGCAGGGGCGTCACTAGGTTTCAAGAACAAGGGGGGCTTAGCCCCAAGGGGAACACAGCCCCTTTAGGGGGGTCCGGGGGCATGCCCCCCCGGGAGAAATTTTTTCTACATTCTGTTAAAAATCCATCAATTCCGTGCACTTTGAGAGCAAAATGAAGAGGCTATGAAGAACTACACACATCACATTAGTATCCTCTTTACTATGATGGGGCTTCCTCCCCTGGACTTTAACTGGACTAGATAATAGAAATTATAAAGAGTTCAAAAGTTCAATCTTGGTTGTTCAAGGGAATTAGAAGGATGCCCGATAACATAACCTATATGACAGTAGGCCTATATTCCTCTCTACCAAAATGCTCACTCTCTGTGCGTCTTTAGCCTGATTCCTATCAAATAAATACATTTATTTATTTTATATTTATTTATTTATTTTATATAGGCCAAAATCTCAATAGGTGTTGCCTCAAAGAGTTGGTGTAATGATTATTTATGTATTTAATAATAAAATGTTGCTTAATTTTTATTAAGCACCACCTTAATTTATCCAAAAGTGAACACTTGTTACAGTGCAGTTTCTGCTGTTTCTGGAGATATTTTTGTGGACTATAGTCACTAGTTTTACCAGCATGGATGCATTGAATACTTAATTTACCTTTCTAAAAAACTGTTGAATATCCATGCTGTCGACTCAACCTGACTTTCGGCAATGAACTGTCAGTTGTTGCGTTAGCATTTGATGTGGAGATGGTGACAGACACGTCAAATGCTAACGCAACACCTGTTGCGTTCAGGAATCCTGGGAGATTAATATTACAATAATGGCAGGTTATCGAAATATAATTTAAAATGGCCACATTACATTGAATTTGATGCAATATATGAGCAAAAGTACAGGAAAAATAAATAATACTTTTTTTAAAATAATGCAAGGAAATTATTTAGGGGGGCTAAAGACATTTTTAGGGAGGCTGAAGCCTCCCTAAAATAGGCCTAATGACGCCCATGGGGCTTGGTATTGTGTTTTGTTACTCTGCTGGGTGGCCGGGTGGTCCAGTGGTTAGCGCGTCGACCTCACAGTGCAGAGGTACTGGGTTCAATTCCAGCTCCAGCCTTCCTGTGTGGAGTTTGCATGTTCTCCCCCGGGCCTGCGTGGGTTTTCTCCGGGTACTCTGGTTTCCTCCCACATTCCAAAAAACATGCATTGCGGGCTGACTGTTGTCAATAGGGCGTCAATCTCACAGTGCAGAGGTCGTGGGTTCGATCCTGGCTCTGGCCTTCCTGTGTGGAGTTTGCATGTTCTCCTCGTGCCTACGTGGGTTTTCTCTGGGTACTCCGGATTCCTCCCACATTCCAAAAAGATGCACGGCAGGCTGATTGAACACTCCAAATTGTCCAAAGTTGTGAGTGTGTGCGCGGATGTTTGCTCGTATCTGTGTGCCCTGCGATTGGGTGGCAATCGGTTCAGGGCATCCCCCGCCTACTGCCCGAAGACAGCTGGGATAGGCTCCAGCACCCCCCGCGAACCTTGTGAGGATAAGCGGATTGAAAAATGGAAAAATGGATGGTTACTATGCTGATTATTATGAGTGCATTTCTTGTAGTTTTTGTCGTTTTTCATACAGGTGATATGGATCCCCCTGAGTCTGAAATAAAAGATACAGGAGAGTAACTATTTTATGAAACAATCACGTCAGTCTACGACACTTACGGTTCATCGATAAAAGATCCAACTTGACGTAAAATCAGTTTTAAAACCGCAGTTTAAAAATGTGAGTACATGATGAAAAATGATAAGATTCCATTGCTTATTTGTCTTCAGTGGATGAGGCATCTGGTGACAGATTGGTGTGCGGCGTCTTGTTGAAAGCATTGTTTTCCTTGCAGTCAACTCCAATCTATGAGTGCGTTTATGACAGGTGACCTATGTTTTGTATCTTTCAATGTTTCAAATACAAACAACAGTATTGTCAAAAATAATCCTCGTTCCCACAGATCTGCAAAAAGTAATGTGGCAGGGCATCTTTTGAAACATTCATCAACATGTACCCGGTACATGCTTCGGATTATGTAATATTTTGTAGACAAGGAATGCAAAGTAAAAGCAGGAGCTCTGTAGGAAAATGCACATGTTCCACCATTGCTGTTTTGGACTCTCATAACTATATTCCCTTTTCAGAGATGACTTTCCAAGACCGGTGGCCACAAACCGGCCCATTCACAGTCTCTGGCTGGTCCTCAAAGTGACCATCAAGTCAAAGTAAAACATAAAATATGTGGTCCACACGTGTGGACGGTATTACAGCTTCGGTAGCTCGCAAGTGCGACATCTTGTGTCAGGCGTGTTACCAATTTAGCCTTGTTTTCGCTTTTGACCAAGTAGCATCTACAGCAGGGGTGTCAAACTCGTTTTTGTCCCGGGCCACTTGGAGTTACGTCTTCCCTCGGAGGGCCGTTACGACAGTGAAACCAAATAAATATTTAATCATCACATCGTATTATTGCCTTTACACAACAAACAGACGGATTTATTGGTTTGGAAATCAGTCGCGTCAACTATTTGTTTGTTGTTTATTGAATTAAACCAACATGGAGATTTTAAAATTTGAGTACTTATAAAGAATTTTTTGTTGGCTCGACGCACTACAGATTTGGCACCACTTTTCTTACTTTTCACTTCTTACCGTGATATTGCTTAACATTCAGTGTACAGTATTTAGTGTACTTGAAGCACAGTATATCGGCATCACATTACACAGACAATTACTATGCTGTACTTAATAGTAACTATTAGTAGACTAATATAAACTACTATATCCACAAACTACACGATATACACGGAAATATAATGGTGCTACTTGAAATTATTAAATTCTAGGTTACTACTTTTGATAGGCTGCAAAACCTGTTGTAGATGGATAAACCACATTTACTTTGTTTTGTTGTATAATCAAATTTTCACACTGATTCCCAACCAAGTACTTGAAACCTTAAAAATCACACTGTACACCCGATTTCATGGAATAACTCATCACATTGTAATATTTATGATCCGTATAACAACCCTCTCTGGTTTGGAACAGTTTCTGGATACTGTGGCAAAAGTTGGTCATTGTGTGCTTTGTCCTTTGTTTGTGCTGTTTTTAATTCAACTAAGTGATAGAATTTGAGTGTGTTTTATTTGATAAATAATGGATTTTTTGGTTTGACATATTTTGAGCGGTTAGTAATTCGTGTAGTTCTTTTTAGTAAAGATCGACTAAGAATTTGTTTTGTAAGTATGTCAGGTATGGCAGCAATAACGAGCAATATAATATATACACGAAGATGCCTTATTTAGGATAACCTTATACAGGATGTCTGTAGTTTTCAAAATTTTTCTTCTAACAATTTCTGTGTGTGATTTTTTTCATTTCTAATAACTCCCAGAAATTTAGTTTTATTTACTCTTGCTATTTCAATTGAATAGATGACAATTTTGACTCTTTAGTTTGTCTAGTAAAGATTACATATACATACTTTCTTTTGTTTAAATTCAAAGATAATGTATTAGTGTTAAACCATTTTAAAATATATATTTAATTCCTTTTTCACAGTATTCAGAAGCCGCTCAAAGTTTTCTTCAGAGCAGTATAAGGTTGTGTCATCACCAAATTGAATTTTTTTTAACCTTAAGAGACAGAGGAAATGTCATTGATATAAAGTAGAAATTGTTGAGGACCAAGCACAGACCCTTGGGGGAATCCGTGAGTTATCTTCAGCTTATTTTATTTGAAATTGTTCAACCCTACATTTTGATATGTCAACTAAAATAGTTTTTCAACCATTTATGTGCCACCTCACAAGGTTCGCGGGCATGCTGGAGCCCTTTCCAGCTGGCTTCAGGCAGTAGGCGGGATGGCACCCTTGTTGCCAGCCAATTTCAGGGCACACAAAGACGAACAACCATTTTCGCTCACAATTACACCGAGGGACAATTTAGAGTGTTCCATTAACCTGCCGCGCATGTTTTTGGAATGTGGGAGGAAACCGGAGTACCCGGAGAAAACCCACGCAGGCATGGGGAAAACATGCAAACCCCACACAGGGAGGCAAGAGCTGGAATCTAACCCTCCACCGCTGCCCTGTGAGTCGGATGTGCTTAGTCGTCGACCACCTTGCCCCGCCCTGTATTTTTATCCTTTATAAAATATTCTGGATAGTTTTTTTAAAAGCCATTATTTATTATAGAATTTAATATTCTCTATATTTCTTGTGTGTTCCTCCTGTTTTGTTTGAATAGTGTGATAATGTTGTCTCTTGCTTGTTCCTATATTTACTAGTTTATTTTTATATTTCTTATAATTAAGTTTAATCTCCTTTGTTCTTAAATTTAGAAAAGGTTTGGATGGCAAGTTTTTCTTTTTACCTGTATTCTGTATATGCCCTCTGTCATCAATGGCTTATTCAAGCCTTAATTCTTCCTGTTCACTATTCTTGATGGACAATGTTTGTCGTAAGGTGAAGTGAAAGGTGACAAAAATGCTTGTTATGCGCGATTTGGATCTTCATTTGAGTAAATCTCAGCCCAGTTTTGATTTTCTCGATCCATCTTAAAGGCAATAATCACACATTATGTTCTAGGTCTAATTTCTGATGCAGAAATTATTTGTTTCGATTTCTTTTTTTAATTGAAATAATTTTGAATAATTGCAAAGACATACAAGTGATCACTTATATCATTTATAAGAAGACCATATCACATGACGATTCGACCAAATACAGTCTTGCCTGTATTTGGTCTTAGTCGAACTCAAACCGACACATATGATGCTAATAAAGGTCAGTGGATTGAATGGAGGGGAGGGGAGGGGAGGGGGAGGAGGGAGGGAAGGAGGAGGCGGGCGGCTGGAAGGAGGGAGGGGGAGGCAAAGAGACCCTGGCGGAGCAGCGGGGAGGTTGGACCGGGAACAATAGAGAGGAGCGCCGCCAGCCTTCAGGCTTCAAACAAACGCAGAAGGCGACAGAAAGCGAGCCCGGCAACGGGATGGACGCCACAGAAACTGGACCCTGGACATGTGAGGACTAACAACCAGTGGATTTTTTTTCTTGTACCTTCGCTTCTCTCTTTTGTTTGAACTCATTTGTCGGTGGGGTTGTGTCGAACCGGAATCCGACATGAACCCCGCCGAAGCGGCCGAGGAGGCGCCCAGCGACACCGACACTGATGCATTCTTCAAAACAGGTAGGAAGACCAGGGTGGAGTGAAGGCAGCGAAACACATGACCAAAAAATGGGCCAGATATGGGACCTTTCACGCCTGTTCAGAACGTGAGGAGGGAAGCTCGAGTGTTGCACATCAGTCCGGTGTCGTTCTGCATATGCAGCTTTTTAACCTCTCCTCCCTGTGAGCTTCTTATTGCATTTGGGCAAGTCCACTTTCTGTCATTGTGTCTGCGTCTGTCCATGTGTCGGTGTGCACATATAAAAAGCAAAAAGACTCCCATGCTTTGAATCAGCTGCTCCAAGACGCCAGGAAATGTGTTCCCTAATGTGCAACTCAATGACGTTATCGCAATGATGTTCAAGCCTCTGCAGACAGCGCGTGCGTGAGCGCGCGCGCTCACGCCGTGTCTGTGTTGATGTCTCCAGTGTTCACGGAGACGTCACGTGATGTGTGCGCAGGTTTTGGGGGACAATTTGCCCTTTTAGAAAGCCTCTTAAGTGTCATTAATGTTTTTGTGTGTTTGTGTGTGTGCGTGTGGGGGGGGGGCGGGACGGCATTGGATTGTCAATCAATCGATGGGCTCTGGAATCGATTGATTTTGTGGGTCAACAATAATTGCAGGAACTGGTAGATATGAAGTCCTGTACTTCGAGCGGAATGAAGAGCAGCTTTGTGCATGTAACGGCTGAATGTAGAGCGTTTTAAGATTTTTTTCCCCCAATTTTTGACACATGGAAAAAAATGGTGTGTAGATTGAACTGGTGTCCCATTTTCATTCCTTACTCTTGACTAACTGCAAGGTAAAGGTTTGACTTGAGACTTGTTGACTTGCTTCAAAGATCAGAGGCTCATTACGTTACTGTAGTATTCAATGGTGCACTGCCACCAAGCCATCATCTTGCAACTTGAGTGACACTGTTATGCTCTTATCAAAATACCTGCAGGAGGCAGGGCCAAGTTGCCATGGCAACACGGTGTGATCAAGTTAAAAGCATGGCCTTGCTCCCTGATGGATGAATGATTAACACCAGCAAACCAAAGAACGGATTTAATTGTGTTGGATTTCTTTCAATGTGTGTTGTAATGATGTAAAAACAGCATTGACAACTAAAATTGTGCGTTTTACATGAAAAACACCCAACCGAGTCAGAACAGTGCTTTTCTTTTCTCTTTGTGTTTCCGAAAGTACGTATATATGCATGCCAGACCAGAAATTGGTGATGTCGCTTTATACATTTATTGATTTATGTTAAGCATGCTTCTAAATTACAGTTCTTCACCACTATTTTATGGCCGTCAGATTTTTCTTCTTCGCCGGCCCAGCGTTGGTGACACCCAATCGAAATCCATAACGTAACACTTACTACTTCAAATGCGTTTGCAGATATTCCATAGTATTTATCCCCCCATCTCGTTCCTTTGTCATCTCCTCCCTCCCCGATGGAATTTCTGGTGGGAGGTGCCAGGACCCATAGTCAATGCACTCTACTTGAAGCAGCCCTGATGTATATTTACCAAGATGTGGTGCATATTTCTGTCAGTCAACAGCAAAAATGGGCATCTGTCAGTGACAGACTGAGAAGTCCGTCGGTACTGACTCAGTGACGATTACACCGATGGACGCAAACCCACTTCTATCAGTGTTTAGTCCATCATTTTTTTTTCAACTTTTCCGTCATTCGTCAGCAAAATGGGCATCTTACTGGCTAACTGAAAGGATTCCATCTGTAATTGAAACTCTTGTGTGTGTGTGTGTGTGTGTGTGTGTGTGTGTGTGTGTGCGCGCGCGCGCGCGCGCTCGGTATAATGTGAAGCCCCCAACATCACCCCTGCCTATCAGATTTGTTCTGGCACCAAAACTGACTGCACCGCTAAACTTCTGATCCTCGAATCGCCTTGCTACCTAATAAGAAGAAATGCTGGCAGACAATGCACAAGCTAATTTTTCCTTGATTTGAGATGTTTAAACCTTGGTAAGATTTTAGGGGCAGCGTTGGCATTCAAATTTCCCCAAATTGCAGAATACCAATGGGGGGGGGGGCATATAAAAAAAAATCACCCCTTCTTGCTACATTTGCCTTCTTCTAAATGAGAACATTTCACAAACTTTACCTTTGCCACTTTTTGGAGAAAATTGTTGATTCAAATGGCGTTTGACCCATTTAAACTGCACACATCTATTTTGGGATGAGCCTAAACAAGCCACCTTAAGTTTCGTAGCAGCACATCTGACCCATTGGGGGTGCCACAGTGCTCACAGCACAGCTAAATGCCTCGTCACTTCCTCGTTTGTGCATCCAGGCATGCAGAGCTTGTTAACAAGGCGTTCGTGTATCCATTTCCTTCAAGTACGTGGTGAGGTCTCTTTAGCTGTCTATTATTCATCTGAAATGCATCTTGGCACCGCTACAGCCCTAATGGATGCAAGCGTTGCGTCTTGAGTCCATCAGATTTAATAATGTCTTTTCCCCGCCGCCGTGTCTCTCCTTCACTTGACACTTTGGTGAGATCAGATAAGTGGCGGCAAAGGTTTCGGGCAGGAACCCGAAACTGTCTGTCGCTTGGTCTTCTAATGCCTTAAAGCTCGATATTTGAGAAAGTCTTTTTTTTTTTTTTTCCAAAAGAAGGACCACTCTAACAAGGCCGGTCTAGTTACTCATTACTTACCGCTATTGCCATCAAAGTGACGGTTAACTGTCTAATTCTTTTTACACAGTGTTATTTGGTATACAGTAATCCCTCGTTTATCGCGGTTAATGGGGACCAAAACCACCCGCGATGAACGAAAATCTGCCAAGTAGTGACCAATAAACATAAAAAAAAACTTTTTTTTTTTAAAGTCCGCAAAAAGTCCGCAAATGGTAGCGAGAAGCTGCAAAACAACAGCGAGTCACATAGACAGTACTGTACTCCATGTATGGGAAAAAAAATAAGATATATTTATTTATTTATGTATTTATTTTTATGAATATGTTTGAAAAAATCCGCGATGCACTGAAGCCGCGATAAACGAACCGTGAAATAGCGAGGGATCACTGTACTTCTTTTCACACTTGTTAAAAATACAAAGAATGTTGCATGAATGCATGTCCGTGTGGTTAACTCATTCAGTACCAGCCAATTCTAGACCCCATTTAAATTTTTTATTATTATTATTTTTTTTACCCTAAGTCTTGGAAAAATTGGAAAAAAATTAGTATCTGGGGTTGAACATGTGGAGTGTGAAAAGACATATTTATATGTCTTTGGGAGTGAATGAGTTAATAAAGGTTTTCTGACAGCTTGAGCACAGTTGGATCCTTTTCCATTATTTCTTATGTGATCTTTTTTTTTTTTTCCATATTCCGTAATTTTTTTTTCCAGTAGTTCCACAATGAGTCACATTTGCTGATGGATGAAATGACAAAAGTACACAAAAGGAGTTGATTGCCCGTAGTCATGAATATGAAGTATACACACAAGCAGAAAAATGCGTCATGTCAATGTTAATTAGCCGTTTTATAAATAGAAACTAGAGCTATCAGTCGGAGACAGGAAATAATGCACACACATTATTAGCGGACACCAGCTGCTACACGTGTTAGCATGTCAGTACTGTACCTTCTGTCTTTACAAATTAAGATTCCCCTGTTTTTATTGTACTATTAAAGACTGATGTGTTGAATTACAAAAATGCAAAGAACTGGCTTTTCATTGTCTCTTTGTTGACAATATGAAATCCTTCATGATTTGTTGGGTCATATTGTTTTATAGGGTTACTGGAATTTTAAAGATGCATATTTGCCGATGAGTCTGGTGCCCTGGTTGTCATGTGGCCGAAAGGCCGCAGGTTCATTGTGCTGAGTGTCACCTTATAGTCTAGACCAGGGGTCCCCAACCGCCGGTCCGCGGACCGGTACCGGTCCGCCGGGCATTTGGTACCGGGCCGCACAGAAAGAACTTGCCATAATTCCGTTTTATTTATTTCGGAATACGAAAGATGTTTTATTTTGAAAAACTACCGGATTCTCCGTTACATCCGTCTGTGTCA